GAAGAGGAAGAGGAAGAAGTAGAAGGAACAGAAGAAGAAGAAGAAGAAGAAGAAGAAGAAGAAGAAGAAGAAGAAGAAGAAGAAGAAGAAGAAGAAGAAGAAGAAGAAGAAGCAACTTGTCTTCTTATCTTTTGTAGCTCAATGCTCCGGACAGTAGAGATAAAAGCTCCAATGACAAAAATTAAGAACAAGGTGGATCCCAGATCTTTCACCCTGGACCTTCCCTCTGGTTTGACTAACGTTCAGGACTCCGTTCTTACCTTCTTTGCTCTCCAGGACCGAGTCCTTCAGAGAACACGCTGAGGGCGCCTGCCCTGCCAGAGAACCGATGCCCACATTCCCATCCAACTGCTCTTTGCTTCTCAGTTCTTCTTGCCAAAGGGTGGACTTGGTGGTGGGGATCTTCTCAGCGCCAGGGATGCTGCTACTGGTCACGGCCATCTTCGCCGGACCAGGCTCCTGGAGGGAGAAGAACGCAGTGGGCAACCCCAGTTGCAATGGCCGGTGTTTTACATCTCACACCTGCTCAGATGAACCACACAACATTTGTGTTCTCCTTGCAGAGGTCTGTTGCGTAGCTGTTAAATCTAGCCCTCCCGTCACTATGGGTGTTATTGAGTACAGGTGGACCTTAACTTACGCCCATCACTGGCACCTGAATTTCAGCCGCTAAGCAAGGCAAGTGATAAGTGAGTCTGATGCCTGATTTTACGACTCTTTTGCCCTGGTTGTTAAGCAAAGCACTTCAGTTGTTAATGGAGTCACATGGGTGCTAAATGAATCCAACTTCCCCCCATTGGCTTTGCATGTCGGGAGCCGATGGGAAGGTTGCAACTGGCGATCAGAGGAACCTCATAAATAAATTTGGGTTCCTGAGTACCCACATCTTGATGACGTGATTGTGGAAGTGTCACAACCAGTGCGAGAGCTGGTCGTAAGGCTCAATGGCATTGTAACTTCGAACCGGGGGTGAAATCTACTTACCTTCGCTACCAGTTCACAAATGGGAGCGCCCGTGCCACCTCCGCGCATGCCCGGGTCCTTCCGTGAATGCGCAGTGTGTCAAAAACGGACGTGATGACGTCCGGGCGGGAGGGTGGACCGCTGTTCCATACGATTTAGATATAAATCGTGCATCACAGTTGATCGACGGAAATATCGGTTCACCCGAACTGGTAGCATTTTTTTTGCTACCGGTTTGGGCGAACCGGTAGCATTTCACCCCTGCTTCGAATGGCCACGAAACAAATGAGTTGAGTTGAGTTTATTAGACTTGTATGCCGCCCTATTCCCAGGGGGATTTGTAAGTTGAGGACTATGAAGGCCGAGAATGACCCACCACAACCTTAGGAACTGTGCCTCAACGAGGGGAGGAATGCAGAGAGTGGCATTATTCTGAGCAGCAACACAAAATAAAGCACTCACAATAACAATGTGCCGCCCCACGGTCTCTTTTTACATCATTCAGCATTATGGCCCTGATTTTTACCATTTTGGTGCCATGATCTCCAGCTACTCCCAGAGTTAGCATCGTCTCCAAACCCGATAGCTGTTTGAAAAGTGCCTTTCGATTCATCCTGCAGATGCCTCGGGCACTTGGCTGCATTGCAACGAAGGCGCAAATGTTTTCCAAAATTAAAATAGGCCACTCTGCACCCAGCACGGAAGCCGGTTTCCAAAGGAGGGTTTGCAATTGAAATTAGTTTGGGTGCAAAACAGAAACACGCCCCTTTCTTCCTAAATCACTATTGTTTTCCAACCTGGAAATTTTAAGATACCTGGACTTCCAACTCCCAGAATTGCCCAGCCGACACGCCCCATCTCTCCCTCAAAAATAATTTGGAGCAGCAATGTTTAGGAGGGATGGTCAGAATTATCTATGGTAGATTATGATTGTGGAGTTAAGGCTACAATTTAGAAAACAAGATGAGCACTGGAGCTTGGAGACCTCAAGTTGACTTGAGATAAATGGACAGTTTGTAGTGAATGTTATAGAGCAGAAGCCTTCGAACTTGGCCACTTTAAGACTTGTGGACTTCAACTCCCAGAATTCTCCAGCCAGCATAATTTACTCTCTTGAAATCCCTTCCTCTGCAATCTCTCCACTTAGATCAGAGAGCTTCAAATTTGGCCACTTTAAGACTTATGGACTTCAACTCCCAGAATTCTCCAGCCAGCATAATTTACTCTCTTGAAATCCCTTCCTCTGCAATCTGTCCATTTAGATCAGAGATTTTCAAACTTGGCCACTTCAAGTCTTGTGGACTTCAACTCCCAGAATTCTCCAGCTGGAGAATTCTAGGAGTTGAAGTCCACAAGTTCTTAAAGTTGCCAAGTTTGGGGACCACTGCTATATAGGGCCTCTTTGAATTGGGGGTTGGACTAGAAGACCTCCAAGGTCCCTTCAAATCTGTTATTTTTTATTCTAATAGTCTTCTGGAAATGTAGTCTTCACAAAGAGCGACCGATAACGTCCTCTCCATTGTCATTTCAAGCCCAACACAGCGAAGTTGCAGCTGAAGAAAATTCAATTGAGTGAACTTCAGGCAGTTTTGCTAAAAATTGGTGCTTCCTTCCGGTTTTTGGCCAAGCTGCACCCAGAGCAAACCACTGCTCCGTTGTATGTTGAGGACTACCCATAGAAGAAGAAGTAGGAACTAAGTACCAATTCCCCCCCCCCACGAGAAAGAGCGAGCAGAGGGAATTCGCTTCCTCGTTGGAGGGTGACAGAGGAAGAGTGGTATCCCATCTAAGGAGGCTTTTGGAGGTCATGTTGACCAGATGACCAAGAAGAACATCTAATGCTTGAAGGTTCTCCTCCAAGGGCAACTCAATTCAACCTCTTCCAACCGTCCTACATTACTTTTGCTCTCCCTTAGAAAAATAGTGTAGCACAAAGAGCTGAGAGCAGAAACAGAGTCGAGATTCCTAGCTCCAGCTTCCTTCCCCCCCCCCCTAAAATTCCTTTTTTGGAAGTAACTAGACCTTCTCCAGGATTTTTCCCTGAGGCAGCAGGCGTGCTCCATCTCCTGCTGCTCCGCAAAACTCCTTGAGATCACGTTGTTCAGCCCTGTTCACCCTCCCTGAGACTCACCTCCATCTCCGGAGGCAGTCCATTGGTGGAGGGGGGGGAAAGACCCCCTTTTCGGTGCGTCTCTCCCCCAACCCAACCCTACTACCCTTATTTGGTTCTTAGTAGCTCAGGTCCTGTCAACTTTCCAAGGGGTTGCTGAGGCAACTGAGCATAACCCAAAAGAGAGAGAGATAATATTCTGCCAACATTTTTTCCCCTCCTGTTTTCTGTTCTGCTTCCAAAAATTGAAAATAAGGGGAGGGAAGGGAGACTAAAATAGGAAGAGCTCTGGGGGAGGGGGCTCGCCCCTTCTAAGGCTGTTTTGCTTCTTACTCCACGCTTTGTGGGTTGGCTCAGCTGAGACAAATTCTCTAAAAGGCTTACAGGGGTTCAGTCCCAGAGAAAGAGGCAAGGGGAATGGTTACTACCTAGATTGAATTTTGCTCCCCCCCCCCTCTATCTCTCTTCTCATACACACACCCCATGAAGGACTTCAGGACACTTACACACCCCAAGCTACAAAAAAAACCTGCACACAGATTCCATTGCATGCTTTGTGCTCAAAACGACATTGCTGCGGAGCGATGCTATGCCAACAGATTTTGGACGTTGTAGTCAATAAATGCTACGTATGTTAAATACAGTATTGAATTAAATGGGAGGGGTGTCCTTGGTGCTCTCTGAGCTTGGTGGTTTTCTTGCAGAAGTTTCATGGCCCAACTAGGTAGCGTCATCAGAGCTAGACGGGAGGGTTGGCAAACCTCGCCCACTGATGATGTTGCCCAGTTGGGTCATGAAACTTATGGCCATTCCTTCGTCAAATTCTCCACTTGATGGTATAAGCAGCCCATTCAGGAACTCACAATGCAGATTAAAGTTACTTAAGGCAGAGAAATATTCAAGCACACACACACAACCTCCAAATTAACATCACCCTATTTTCTCTGTATGATGGGCTGTTCCAGAGGTGGGTTCCTACCAGTTCGCACCTATTTGGTAGAACCAGTTCGTCAACCTGGCTATTCCGACAGGCCTGGGGCTAAAGAGCTTCTGCCCCCTTTCTCGAATGGTATGATTGTTGTGTGTTTTTAAATTGTGTATTGTTTGTTTGTCTTTTATCCCCCATTTGTACCTCCTTTCCCTGATTGAGTTGTGAGCCGCCCTGAGTCCCCTTCGGGGAAAAGGGCGGCATATAAATGAAATAAATCCTAATCCTAATCCTAATCCTAAAGTGGTATCTATTTATTTACTTGCATTTGCATGCATTCAAACTGGGTAGGAGCACAGGCAAGAATGGAAGCTCACCTCATTGCATGGGGCTTGGGTTTCAAACCCAGGCTATCAGTTTTCCCGCTAACAAGTTCAGCTTCTTAACCACTGAGACATTGCACCTTCCAAAGATCTAAGAGGCTATTCCACATTTGCCCCAAACCCTAAGAATTGGGAGCCAACTCTGATTGTCCCCAAAGTATAGGATTTCTTCTCTGAG